ATTGCACACACAAATCTATAGTTCAAAGCTGCGCGATAATAATTTTGATTAATTGTTTTTCACGTGGCTAAATATTATTCATTTAATTATTGTAAGACTTTATTAATTACATATATGAGATAGAGTTGTACCAACAAAAGTTTTCTTGATTAAATCGATATTCACTGATTTAAAATCTTAAAAATTTTAATTTAAAATTAAGGTAAAAAAATGTAAACTTTTATTATATTATGTAGTTAGCTCTCTAATATTAAAAAAAAAAAAATTGATCTGTCATTGTAACTTGTAATTCCACTAATCACCTTTGATTATTATTAGAATTCATTATATTAGAGAGAATTGTGGTTAATTTATCACCAAAATTAAGAATTTTATTTCTAATGCTAGAGCCTAATGCTAGAGCCTAGAGGACTATAAATTGACAAATTTATTAAAACAAAAGCAAAGACCAAATAATCAAATTGGCCTCCGGATTTCTCCAAAAGACCACTGGACATGTAGAAATATCTCAACACCATTTCCATTGTAGAAGATGAATGAACATATGGTTTTCCTCTCCTATATTTTGTTTTGTAGCTCAAAATGCATTGTTTTATTTTGGCCTGTTTAGTGGTCCATCCAGATCTCTTATCCCCGACCTGAGAGAAAAAGTTAGGTTTAGAGTTTTGAGGCAATGGAAATGTCACATCACGTATATATATATATATATATATAAAACTCGCAAAATCAAAGGACAAGTTAACCACTACATTTTGTGGGCCAAAATTTTAAAGATTTATTATATTACGCCGTGTACGTATTTCCATGTGTTTAAGGGTTAGTTTTATTTTTTATTTTTTCAATCAAATTTGGACGTATAGTAAGAAGTTTTTTTTTTTTTTTTGCACAGCAAAGATAATTTATTGATGATATTGTGGATGTACAAGTAGTACTCCACCTAACTCTTTACACGAGCAGAGAAGAGATAGCCTGCATTGTTACTCCTATCTTTCAAACTATTTTACACCCATGCTTACTCTTAAGCATCCGTAAGAGGACGTATAGTAAGAAGTTGTTTAATACATCGGTTTAAAATTAATAATTTTATTTAATTTAATAAATAAAAATATATTTATGAATAATAATAATTATTATTAATTATTAAATTAGATGAATCTGGTAATTATTAACTTCAAACTATTATATCAAACAACTTATAATTTTTTATAAGTTTAAGGTAGGGGAGGTAGAGAAAATTTCCTTATTAAGTTACTAAAAAAAGGAGTGGAGGAAAGTTATTTACTTTGTTTTTTTTTTCTTTTGGTTAATTTATTTATTCAAAGAAAGGGAGGGGAGGGAAGAGAAATAGATATCTTTCCATTTCCCTATCCATTTCTCTTCCCATATCCATTTTTCTTCCTTTTCCTCTATTTCTTTTTCAAATTAAATATACTTTTTAAAAATAATGAATAGTATTATTTTGATTTAGATAAAGATGAATAATTTACGATAGGATTAAAAAATTTATGAATAATTATATATTTATTGATTTCTCAAAAAATCAAATCTTAATAAACAAATTAAAAAATAAATTTCTTTACCAATTACATTATAGTTGCTGGAGTTTTATGGTAAGTATCTTACTACAGCCAAAACAGAACCTAACAGATTAACGCATAAAGGGCATTAAAAGATTATGTAATACCATGTAAAGAATGCTCATGGAGAGATGAAAACAAAAAAGTTTGAAAATACTATATAATTAATATATCATGGAATCATAGGTGGAATCCTCATTTCCATTCTGCCCTTCAACTGATTCGCCACCATTTTCGTCTCATCTCACCATTATTCTCTCACACGATATCTCCATTCTTCCTTTCAATATTTCTCAATACCACTTTTTCTTTCTTCTTTCTTCCTTGTCCTTAGTTTCAACCTTGTCTACTTAAACCCTTCCTGCCCTTCTTCTTCCTTTCATTCCTACAACCTCCTTTTCTCTCCATCTCTGAGAGTGCAACTGTTTTTCTGCTTCTCTTTCGGGTTCACCTACCTCAAAAGGTCGTGCTTGGCTTCTTGATATAATTAAATTTCTGCTACCCTTTTGCGAAATAGTTTTAATCGGCAAGGGAAACTGACGTTTTTGTTGTTGTTGGCTTTTTTTTTTTTTTTTTTTTTATAATTTTGGTAGAGGATAGAAGATATGGCAATGGCTGCGGGGGAGAGAAACAAGTTGCAAAAAAGCTATTTTGATGTTTTGGGTTTGTGTTGCTCGTCGGAAGTTTCCCTCATAGAGAAAATACTGAAGCCTCTTGATGGTGTGAAGGAGGTGTCGGTGATCGTTCCGTCCAGAACCGTGATAGTTGTCCACGATAGCCTCCTCATTTCTCAGCTTCAAATTGGTAACCATTCTCCGTCACTTTATTCATCTCATCATAATTTTTGGAAAACATTTCCTTTTTCTTTAAAAGAATATAATTTTCTTTGAAAGCTTTGTTGTTTGTGCTAGTTAAGCCCTTCCACTAATAACATTCATTCCAAATAAGCCTATTAAAGTTAATTTGTATAAAGAAGGTCCCTATATTGCACAAAACAACTGTATGACACTCTTTTTTGTTTGCTATGTGTTGCAAAGTCAAACAAAATATAAAAATGATTTTTTTAATATATGCCTTTAAGGCATCGATTAAAGGTATATTTATTGTACATTTTTATTATTAATTTATATGAAAAAATAAAAATTAACTTTAATTTTATTAACTATCTAATTAAATTATTTTATGTGATATTAGTGTTAAAAATAAAATTTACTTTTTTAGTTTTTCATATAAATTAATTAATCATAAAAAAATACATTAAAAATAATCTTAATTTGTGTCTTAAAGACACATATTAAAAAAACCCATATAAAATTTGTCAATTAAAATTACATACCTAAAACGGTGACAAAAATGACAAAAAGAAAAATTACTTTTAGTTTAAGTAGAACAGTTGTATGGTAAATAAAGATGCAAGAAAGTTACTTTGAGGGCTTATGTAAGACCAAACTTAATAATAGGGATTTGATGGAAACAAATAACTTAGTTAAGGAACAAATCCAATAGTCATTCCCAATTTCTTCGAAAATTTTGATTTCTCCTTTTCGTTCATAATAAAAGGTGAGAGGGATGGGTGTATATTTTATTTGGAAGGGGTCCATAGAGAGGCATGGACGTTACAGCTGCCACTGGGCATGTGAGACGCATGATCCCCACCAGCACTCGATTTGGACGGTCCACGTGATGAGATGCGTATCAAATAGCACTTTTGTTTTGTTTTGAGTGTATGCTGCCCTTTTCTTTTCTTTTATTTTATTTTAACACGAAAAATTTGACGGGGGAGGGAATTCTTTACGTTACTCATTTGAATAATTTAATGATAATTTTTAATTAAAATAAAATATTTTATATTTAAGTTGCATAATTTAAAGTAAAGTAAATTGTTGAATGTGAAAAAGTTATTTTTTTATTTTTTATTATTTTTTGTCCAAGATAAATGATTAGGAAAGGAATATTTTTTAAATAATTG